TTCTCAATATATGAAATAAACCCTGAAGTGGCATTTCCTTTGATTTCTCATTTCCTTTTATTTTTCCATTGGTCTCATCACATTCTCTTGGCTCATCTCGTAGAGTGAGGCAAGAGGACAGCTAATCTGTTTTCCCTCTGCACTTCTTAATGTCCTCTTGATTGAGATTCACATTAACTCTTAGGTACCCTAATCTCAGAGAACATCCATAAATCCACATCCACTCCCATAAAGATCAGCTGCTCTGGAATTTCTCCACCAAGTCAGTGAGACCTGGGGAGACCTCAGGTATGGGCCAAGGCACACCTCAGTACGTAAGGAAAGAAGTGCTAACACATTGAGCCTTTCTGCATTGCTGGTTAATTCAGTGCTTCTCAACTTTGTGCAACTCCAATAGTCATTTTGCTGCATGACTGTGCTTTTGCTACACGAATACAGTTTTGGAATGATAGAATCTTAGAATCATTAAGGCTGGTTCTTTTTAGACCAGTAAGATCACCTAATCCAACTGTGGACCCATCACCATCAGGCACAGCCCTCCCCTGCAGCATCAAGGCTCCATTCTGTTTCCAGATCACTTTAGCAACAACTGCCTGCCTTAGAGCCAGCCAACTGCCAGGAGAGGCTGCCAAAGGCCTAGGAAATAACCGTGAGCCGGACACAGCTTTGTCCCTGAGAGTGAAGGCGGTGGAGCCCTAAATTTGGGGCAGGGAATGGGGGGGGATGCATAGCAGCTTTACAAGCCCTGTCCCTTCCCAGTGCTGATGTGCAGCCCTACAACATCGTTGCATGCAATATTTGTGCATTTTATCAGCCCCCCCTTTCACCCCCCCCTTATTCTCTTGCCAATTTCTCATTTAATTTCAGCAACAAACACCAGTTCTAGTTCATCACATCAGCTCTCCAACGTGCCATCCTCGCACGATGTTATGATGGATGGCAGCCTACTAATCTTCCATTAAACATTGGAAGTCTGCATCGTTAGCTCATTCATTTTGTTTATCTTTAAAGACATTACACATGCTTTCTATCCCAAGGGGTGAAAAAACTCAGCATATGAAAAATACCCATCATTACCAAGACACAGCTCAGCAGAAAATGAAGAGATGGGCAGCCCCTAACCTAGCTGCAGCAGACAGGGATAATTAAGCTTGCAAAGGCTTTAAATTATGAAGAATTTGATCTAATACCTTTAACTCTCCATCCTGGATAGTTTTGTTGCCACAGTTACAGGGCAATGGCAAGCAGTAAGGAAAGCAATCACTCCATCTTTTTGATGCAAAGGATCTTCTCAAAGAGCACGGGAACAGCCCAATGCTTTGCAAAAGTTCCTGAAGAGTTGCAGATGTGTCCTAAAGGTACAGCACAACAGGTCCAGGGTGATGATGGATCCCCTTCTGCTCTTCTTGCTGCCATAAGTGGTAATAAATAGCCCTAGGCTGATGGGCTAGCAGAGGACCCACTGTCTTTTCAGAGAAGTGGCATTAACTGGCACAGGATGAGAAGTAATGGCTTCACATTGCACCAGGGGAAGCTCAGGTTGGATATTAAGGAAAATTTATTCTCTAAAAGAGTGGTCAGACATTAGCACAGGTGAGCATGGAGTCACTGTCCCTAGAGGTGCTCAAAAAGTGTGCAGAGGTGAGACTTGGGGATCTCATTAGTGGGCATAGTGGGGATGGGATGGACTTAATGGCCTCAGAAGTCTTTCCCAATCTTAATGATTCTATGAAACATTCTCCATCCAATCCACGTGTTATTACTCAGCCCCTGCAATGCTCCAAGGATGCAGTGGACAAGGACAGCCATGCAGCATCCTGGCCCAAGAGTGTGGTGTAGCACCAAGAATTAAAACCATTTAGGAAAGGGAGAAGGGCACTGAGCCTCAGTGCCGTACCAAGCAGGTTAACAGCAGCTGCCTCGTTTGCCAATCCAACTCATTGTGTGACCACGTGCAAAAATAAATGCTTGCAAAGATTCTCAGCTCAGATGCCTGCAGAGAGAACTGTATCAATGCAAACTGTGCTCTCACACAAAAACAAATGGTAAGTTGTAGCAGACAAGGAAGCGAGCCAGGAGGAACTTAAACACAACTCACTATTTTCTCAACATAAAACGCCATGAAAGTCAGGATTAAACCTTTTGTTTGCATCTCAAGGTGGTTCTCAGATCACCTACCCCAAGCGTCAGGTCTCCGCTCGGCCCTGCTATTGAAGCCCTTTTAATGATTCATGATGACGAGCTTCAAAGAGCTCCCACACACAACAAGAGACCAACTCGTTCTGATCTCAGCACAAAACTCCAGCTTGGTGAATAATTCAGGTCTGTGAAGAGAGCCGTCTTAAAACTGCTCCCTGGAGAAGGAGCAGAGTCTCGAGTTTAATCTCATAATGGAAATAAAAATAAAAGGAAAATATCAAAAGAAAGCAGTGACTGCAAAAACAATACGAGGCTTCTTTTGCAAAATTCATCCGTTGTGAAACTCCACAGAAGGGAACGCAGCTGTTTTCCCTGAATTATGTTTCATGTTTCCCGAGACAAAAGATGAAATCTAAAGCTTTGACTTTCAACTTGTGATAGACAAACACATAAGGGATGACACAACTACTGTGCACTGCTATGGAGGCAAGAAAAGGGCTGTCTGGAGCAAAAGGTGGAAACACAGCCTTGACCACATCCCTGACCACATCCTCAAGTGAGTGAGGACAGCACCAGGGGAACAGCTTGCAACACGCTCCCAGATCTGTTTGCCCAAATCTGAGGCAATCTCCACTCACCTCAAGCCTGGGGCTGAGTTTTCTGCTGGCTCTGCATCTCACCCACGTCGCACAATGCGTCTGATGCTGAACACAAAGAGGCTACACAGCCCAAAAATCTCAAGTTAACTGCACCATCCAACAGAAAACTCTGTGCAACATACAGTTCATCTGTGCTCCTTAGTTCTGAATTTGAGTGAGAATTCAAGCCCGACTCCTGCCCCAGATTCTTGATATGATACCCAGGGACTGTGTCACACTGTCACATCACTCCAAATGCTTAATCTCAACCAGATGATGATGAAATTCTTACACACTGCACTGTGCCCCAACAACAGTAAATAGCATCAGCTTCATGGCCATTTTGCAAACATTTCTCTCTCTTTCAGCCCATGTACCTTTCCTTTCCCTTTAAACCATTTACCAAACCTTCTTCTTCCTCTGTGACTGACATTTGGAGGTGGAGCAGGTGTCACAAGCAGCCAGACACGGCTGCCAAAATCTGACTTTCCATGGCCAGAGACACCTTTGAGCTATCAGAAATAATTACTGTCAAGGTCAGCACATGGCATAGCGAACAGCCAAACAGCCAAACTGTTCAGGCACACAGCATGCAGCTACCATACCCACACACATCTCATACACATCCATTTCCCCACTTTAAATTAGAACTAAAACAGCACTCTGCTTATTACAGAGCTCATAAGCTTGGCTCCTCCAGCACTTGTTAGCAAGAGTCACATAAAACAAGAGGATTCACTCTTGGAAAACTCAAGAATTTCCTTTCCTGCTGCCTGTACATGAGATTCCCAATTTGGGAGGATGATCAAATTGCCAACAGCTAAAGCTGCACCCAATTTTTATTAGCAGAGGGGAGGGAGGATGGCTTTCCCTTCCCACAGCTCTGTTGGGCTTGGGACAAGCACAGCCCAGGGCTGCTCCCACACACACACACACACATCAAGCAGTGACCCCAAACTGCAGGAGGGCTGGGGATGGATTTAAGCTGTATATCCCCAGTGCCCCGCCAGCATCCTCCCCACACAGCCAGCAACTGTTCTGGGATCTGCCTTTTCCACTATCCTTCAGTTTTTCCCTTCCTCATGTGAACACGGTGCTGCCGATGTCTTTCAAAGCTTTTCACTGAGCTCTCCCAGTTTTATCACCAGGCCACGGCACAAACCTGTCCCTTTAGTTTTGAACTACACCCAGAGCAAACCTTCCCCAGCAGGATTCAGTCTCAGGAACTACTTTAGAACCACGCAGCCCAAATACCCAAAAGCCTAACAAAACACTCCCAACACCTCCACGCACCGAACAGCCCTACCCAGAAATGAGCTTTTTAACCCCCAAAGCCCCCATGCCACGTTCCCCGGCTCCCCGAAGCAGGCTGTTCCCGGCGTGTCGGCACGTCCTGCATGAAACCCAGCTCTTGGAACAAGGCAGACAAACCGCCTGCGTGCAACGTGCAGGCTGCGTGTGGTACGGCTGTACTCAGTGCCTGCCAACACCCGGCCGGAACGCGGCGGGGCGGCCGCTGCCAATGGGAGGAAAACAGCCGGGTGGGAAACTTCAAATGGAAATGGGGCTGAGGGCGTGTAATGGGACTGGGAGAGCGAGGCAGGGCTTCCCCAGCCAGAGGAATGGCTCGGGTCGGTTTGGGTGTGTGTGTGTGTGGGTATAGGAGCAGGGTGCTGAGATGAGCCGGAGTTGGTAAAATGGTTTGTAGTACCGTGCTCTGAATGAGTCATGAAACTGGGGACCTGACCGTTCCTCACCTCGTTCAGCTCCGCAGGCAAAAGCGTGGAATTGGGATGCTGAGGATGCTCTTTAGCAATAGTGAAATCAGAGTCAGCTTCTGCAAGGCAGAGGGAACACGCTTATATTCCTCAAAGTTTCTGCCTGTTGCTACCTTCGCAAGAAATTCCTCGAGCATTTGCTCAAGCTACCCTAAAACCGATTTCCTGAAATACCCCACATGCCAAACCCACCTAACACCGCCTTCAGGAGCCCGGCGTTAATCTCACCATCCATTTCACCCAATTTCCTTCCTCTCCGCAAATCGGAGGCGCCTCCCGCAGCCAGGTGAGCCCCTTCAGACCCCCATTCCCAAAGCGGCCGCCCGCCAGAAGCCCAACGGAGCCGCGGCCGCCGCGTTCCCCCCCTGCCCGCCCCGTCCCTCCCCGCCGCCCGCCCGCCTCTCCCCCCGGGGCTGCGGAGCGGAGGGAGCCGCACGGCCCCGCATGTTAATGAGGCGGCAGCACGGGCAGCGGGAGAGCATTTAAAAGGGGACGAGCGGGGGGGAACGCGGCAGAGCTCGGGCAGCAGCACCGCCCGCAGCCGCTCCTTCCCACCTCGAGGACGGGAAAGCAAGACCGAACCCCGCTGCGTGCGCTCGGGTACCTGCCGGCTCGCCATGAAGCTCCTGACGGCAGCCTTGCTTCTGCTGTTCATTGCGATGTGCTTAGCCAGTGCGGAAGGTAAGAGGATTTTTGCCTATTCTCGTTTAAAGCTCTCTCAGGGTGCGTTTTTTTCCCCCCCTCACCGTTATTTTCCTCCGAAAAGGACAGTTCCCTGCGTGTCACTACAAATAATAATATTGATTCCACAGCGCGAAGCAGCCTTGCGATTTTTTGGTTTTAAAAGGTGAAAGCAATAATACAAAGTCGCATCCTGCCAGCACACCCAGCGCCCCAGCTGCACCCCGCGCCCTCGCTGTTGGGGGCACACCTCGAATCTCCCCCCCTCCAAAACGAATGGCGATTCGCACAGGGAAAACAGAGCCAAGTTTGAAGTGCACGAATCCCACTGCCTTTGCCAGGGTGCGTTTTCTGCTGAGCACAAAACCGGCGGCTAAAGAAACTCTCAGCTTTTGTCTGGCTGCGAATGCACCGCAGCATCCGTGAGAGAAAAAGGACTGAAAGTGCTCCAAACTGGGAGCGAGACACGAGCAAAATGAGAAAGGAGCTGAGAAGGGCATTTGCTTTTTCAGTTTAACGTGAATTCCTACATTTCTATTTCCTCCTGCTCAATACAATTATATCCAATCCCAGCAGGTGCGCTTCACAAAGCTCTCCTATTTACCGAGCTTCAGAACTGCTCTAAAATACATTCTTGGGGGAGCTGCTACCTGTGGCAAAGGAAACATCACTCTTTTCAAGCACAGCAGCAACACGAAATGCAGCTTGTCCCATCAGGGCTTGATGGAGCAGGCTGCAGCTTGCAGGCACACGGGGGAGGGGGGGACGTTGGGCACACAGGAGGGTGAACAAATGCTTTTTCTTCCAGGTGTGAAGTGCAAGTGCTCGAGGAAAGGGCCGAAGATAAGATTCTCTAATGTACGGAAGCTGGAAATAAAACCGAGGTACCCATTTTGTGTGGAGGAGATGATTATGTAAGTTTCCCTTCATTTCTTTCTTTCCGTTTCACTGTCAGCTGAATTATATTGCTTTACACCATGAGATCCTTCTTTGCTCTTTGCTTTTATCATTCTCTGGCATGCCAGCTCCCGGGAAAAGTCACTTGCTGTCTCTGATGCAATAATTGTGTAGTTCTGATCAAAAACTCTGCTATCAGTTTTTGACACTGTTGTCTGCTCAAGGGATTATATGCAAAACAGGTAACAATAAAAGGAGAATAAGCTTGAGCGAAAACAGGGGCCAATACCACGGCAAGCCACTTGCTGTAAAATCCAGAACTATTCAAAGTGTTTTTGAGCAAAGTGAGAACAAGAGCAGGATTTGCTTCTGCACAGAGTTTCATCCCAGAGTCCTCAGACCTCCACAGCCCCGTGTGCTGCATGGGATCAGCCAGCACAGAACTCTTCTCTGAGCTGCGCCGCCAGCCCTGAGCGATGCTGCTGGAAGCCTCGGAACGATGCACAGCAAAGCAAGGCAGCCACAGGGGTTGACAGCATCTCTAACGGAATGGTTTTCTTCCTCCCCATTTTAAATACAAGTGGTTTGAGGGGATTTTCTGCCCTGGTTTGGCTAACTTCCAATGCCCCAGGAAACCCCAGCCCACAGAGCTGGATAATGACCAAAGTAACTGAGAAGACTGCAACAAGCTTGCCACCTACAACAGAGGAAAAAAGGGTCCTGAGTGCAACCATACACCCCAAAATGCTACAGATCACCCTGGTGCTTGCTCCTCAACTAAAGAAAGGACCTCAGCATCCTGCTCTGCACCATAAGATACCCAGGGCCCCATCCTGCCAGTCCCATTCTGCCCATCCTGCCTGCATGACCGTGGTAATGCCTCCAGAACTGAGCCTACCCTGCAGAGATGCTGCCCAGGGCAGAGCTTTGTGGCACAGGATTGGAAATCTGCAACAGGCTTCTCCACATTGACACCAGCATCCCTGTGAGCAGCCAAGCCAAGCTTGGCAGCCTGCAGAGGGGAGAACACCACGTGTGGAATAGATTTCATTCATGCAACTTCTCCTTTTTCATCAGGAAACTGGGAAATCCCCAGTGCCTGGGTTGCTATCCCAGCAGAGAGCTATGCAAATGCAAAGCAATGCTATTTAAGCTCACAGAGCTGCAGCAGCTGCTGGGACAGAGCTGTCCCATCACTCTCCCATGCTCCTGGAGACACCCATGGGCCAGTAACATGCTGCCATCGCTGCCTTCCCAGCCACCCTGCTGCAGCCTGAACAAGTTCAAATTAATATTCAGAGCCAAGGGATCTGGGAGTCTCTGGCCGAGGCACAGAAGAGCTGAATTCCTGCAGCCCAGTGTTTGTTGCTGTGGTGATTGTTTAAAATGAGTTGATGAAGCTGCTTTCCCCTCCTGCTTTCCTCAAAAGCTCTTGTACCCTATACAGGCGAAACATGATAGAAATGAGGTCTGGAAGATTATGAGGGGTGTGGATGCAGTTTAGGAAGGAATGCATCTTTGGCCATAGACCCCCTCAGCAGAGCAGTGGTGCAGGGTGAGAGCTGAACTGAGTCCTAGCCCTGGCTAAAGCCTATCTGGATTCACAGCACACCAAGTAGGAGGCACTTTCCCCATTCTGGAAGAAAAAGAGAGGGAGGTTTAACACTTTGTCTGAAAGCAGCTGTCTCTTTTGTGCATCTCCAAGAGGGGAACATACCTGGTGCTTAACCCAGAGCTGGAGAAGTGAATATATCAGGGACGGTGTTGGCACAAGGAACCTCAGATACAGAGATGCCACCTGAGGGAGACCTCTGAAGGTCTAAGAGACCTGCAGCATCCATCCTGCTCAGCCTGTCCCTGCAGCACACCCAGACAGATCCTTAGTCAGGAACTCAGCTTCTACAGTCTCTCTTTCTAAGCACGTGCCACTAAATCCTGCCTTGGCAGCATGCCTGCACCCCAAGGTGGCATTGCCCAGCATTCCCCACTGTTGTCACCCAGGGCTGTGCCCTCAGCACCAAGAACCACAGGGATGTCTCACAGACCTACATTTGGCATGTAAGCAATGCATCTCAGCCAAGAAAAACCTCTGTTGTATGGTGCACCTCTCAGATGGACAACTGAGAGGTTGTCTGCCTCCTCTTCCTTGCACTGCAGGGTCAGAGTTGTCCTTCACTCACTGCTGCTTCTCAGGGGAGCTCCTTTCCTCCTGTGACATAGCTTGGCTATTTTCTGGAAATATCCAGTGTGCTCTGTCATAAGAGAAACTCAAGCCAAGGTCTGGCACGGGTCAGTGCAGATGGTACAGCCAAGGAGATGGCTTCTGGATGGAGAAACTTCATGCCAACCTCAAGGTTTCTAAAACCTGCATGCTTTGTGCCTTCATTGAGCTTGGTTTCGCCACCTCCCTCATGTACTGATGCCCAGGGACTGGCTGAGATGGCAGCAGTGATCCACAGGTTGAAGCAGTGACCCCTCCCCTTCCATCCTCTGCAGCCCAGAGACTCTAGAAAGCAATCAGGTGTTCTTCTGTGTGTTGGGAAAGAGCTACCTGAGAATTACACCTTATTTTTTATGACTTCAGCTTACACCCAGTGGAGGGAGAGCACAGAAAGGAAGCAAAAATGAAGGTTCATTGAACAGAAAGAAATTGAGCCCAGTGTACAACACTGAAATGGGAAACACAGCACGACTCTCAGCTGAACAGACAGCAATGAGCAGTGTTTCACTGCCCACAGGGGGGTTCCCACTGCAGCAGAGGGTGTGCTGGGAAAGCCCACGAGGCGTTCTGGTTGTGGCAGGAGATGCTCAGCTCCCTTCTGAACCAATCCATGCCAGAATCTCATTATACACACATATTTCTGGTTTTCTGCTATTCGTCTATTCATGTTTCTAATAGCATCTGACTAATCCCATTATAGTATCTTGGGTAAACTGGAAACCCTTTCCTTTTTGTGGATGGTATTTACAGAAAATGAAATAAAGCCAGTAAAACAACAACAACAACACTGTAGGGTTTCCTCAGTCACCAAATGAACAACAAAACCAAAAAAGCACTTGGTGTTGAGCCCTGAGAAGCACAAACAGCTCACACCTCCAAAGAGCCACCCTCTGTGGAAGCAGTGCCAGAGCTCCCACATCACCTCAGCTGAGGCAGAGCCTCCAGGGCATCACTGAGCTCTCTGGGAAGAAACCTGGAGTGCCAGGCAGAGCTCTGCCTTGCAGCACGGCTCATCCTGGCACTGAGGGGACACCAAGGGAATGCTGCTGACACGGGCACACTGATGTGCTTGCGGTCAGGGGAGGTTGGAGGCCCAGCCCTGCTGGGCTCAGCAGGCACCCACCCATGTGCAAGCGTTTAAAATATCATTGAGTAAAGAGGAAAAGGAAAAAAAATCCAGGTTTGATCTTTTTCCCTCGGATGCAACACTGTTAAGCCTAAGGGAACCGTCTCCTCCTGCAAAGACCTAAGGCTGCCCAAATGAGCCTTAATTAAGCCAGCTATTAAACTCAAAAGGAAATACTTAACAGGCAGACAGAGCAAACCCACTGATCAAAACTAACGGGTATGTCTTCATCTGTTACAACTTAGTCTGGCTCTGTGGACAAGCACTGAAGTGCACTGATTGATAACAGCTGAAGATCTGCTTCAACATTCTTCTAACTCAGATGGCTGCCATCAAACACAGCAGGAAACCCTCCTGCTGCCCCATCACTGCCTGGGCCAGTGCCCTGAGCAATTTGGGCAGTGCCCTGCAGGCAGAGCCGTGGGCTGGGGCTGTCTGCAGTGCCCATAACTTGCATGCTTCCTTTGCAGCGTGACTCTGTGGACGAAAGTGAGAGGTGAGCAGCAGCACTGCCTGAACCCCAAACGCCAGAACACAGTGAGGCTGCTGAAGTGGTACCGAGTATGGAAAGAGAAGGGCAGGTAAGAGAATGGGCGCACGCTGCCAGTGCTGCATCCAGCACAAGGGATGTGTTTCATTGCCAAAATTATAAGTAGAAACGGATGCTCATGATGCAATTTCTTTCCTGCCACATGCGCTCCTTGCTTCTATTTTAGGATTAGGGTGTTATAACTATAAATAGTCATTATTTTCGGCTGAACTCTTTGTCAACTGATGATCTTGGCCATTCACATGCACTCACCTCCTCGTTACAGCTAAAAAGCCAAGATGAAAGGCCAAATTACTTCCATGCAATTGTAAGGAAAGCAGTCAGCAGAGCTGGGATTACTCTGCCCTACTCTACTCTACACACTTTAGCTGCAAAACTTCAAAACCTACAACTCTTAATGCCACAGGCCTTGGCCAGTTTTAACTAGTGAATCATTCCCAGGGAATGCTAAGATGCACTGCTACCTTTCCCCTTACAAAGATCTATATAACCAATGGCAAACCATCAGGCTTTGTTGGTTGCTTAGGTTTGTTTGTTGGCACAGCTCCTGCCTGCTGCTCAGGCTCCTCCACAGCCCAAACTAAGTGCAATAAGGAGATATTTCAGATACAAAGAGCCCAATTTATTTCAGTGACTTGCTCGAAGCAAACAACTGGTCAGTGCCCTTGGGGCCAGCTGTACCAAACCCACCGAGTTACACCAAAGGGAAAGGCAGGGAATATAAAGGCAAATAGCACAAATGCAGATTCCTTCTCCAGAACAGCACTGCCCCTGCTCTATGTAAGACATTTTCACCCAAAGAGCTTGAGCACGTTGGAGTTTGCAGCAAACAAGGCTGCCAGGTTTGCTCCTCAGGGTGTAAGCTGGAAAACCAACAGAGCCTGGTATTATTCCAAAGATGACATACTGTTAACTTACTATCCATTCTAATACAGATGTACAACTATGATCTACCTCATGCTTGCATATAAGAGAGGGATTCTCCAGTGGTTAATGAATACTATTGGATGTGGATTTCCCCATCTTGCATGTCCCACTCACTGCAGCCAAGCACGTCAATAGCTTTCCAACTTACTTAAGCAGAGGCTAACACTTTGGCTTCTGGGTTTTAATTATTTGGAAGGGAGTTGTTTCCTTCATGGTTTAAATATTTTGCTCTCTGCTTTCCTCCTGGGCAGGGTTTATGAAGAATAGGAGGCGGCGGTACGAGGAATGGAGAGGACTCCCTTGGCTGGCGTAGGACTGGGCTCTGCAGAAGATTATTTCTCTCACAGGCATAAGACAAATTCTATATTATTATAAAGCACTTTCTACCAAGGGTCAGTTTTTACATTTTATAGCCGTGTGCAAAAGGCTTCCAGATTTCACAAGCATCTGTTGCACTTCTGATTTCACACCTGCCTGCATCATATCGAGGTTGGGGGAAAAACAACAACAACAACTCATGTTTGACATTTTAAAGAGGTTTGGTTTTGTTGTTTCCTGCCTTTTTCTTTTTTAATTGTTATTCATTCATACTTCACTATGATCGCAATTGAGCTTTATAAGCTCATTAGACAATGTTTGCAAGGTACTCTCCAGCTGCGTCCCTCACCCCTTGGCAGTGGGGAAGCCTCGGGGCTGTTGGTCATGTTGGCAGCCCCCAACGAGGCAGTGCTGGGACAGAACAGGAGCTGGGTGAGGTGCCACCAACACGTGGTGGCTGTGGTGCAGAAGCGAGGTCCCTTGGCTCATCAGCAAAGGAGTGCAAGCACCACTCGTGTACCTCTTCCTTAACAGACCTGGGGTCTTGCTGCAAGGTGAAGTGCACCACCCTCCCATCTCATTTCCCTACTCTAGAGAGCATTTCTAGGTCTTTTTTTGTTACTAAGGACTTGTTTAATTTCTTTTCCTCCTCCACCTGAAGCTCTCACACAAGGTTTGTGGCTTCAGTACTCAGACATTTTCAGCTTCAAGACTATTGTGTATGATTTCCTAGATTTGTAGCAAAAAAAGCCTTTAAAAGGCACCTTTTTATGAAAAATATGGTAGGGCAAACATATAAATACCTATGTTTTAGTCACAATACAACATATTCATTATTTTGAATGTAATACTTCAATGTTAAGCAAAGCATTCCTCTTTTTAATGAAATAACAAAACTACCTTTTCATTTGTAAATATACTATAGGAAGTCTCCCTATACTATCTTTCTGTATAATGTACTGTACTGCTAAATTATCATATGCTATTTAAGTGTTTGAAATACTTAGAAGGTTGCATGCAGATTTCATATTTCTTTCTAAGACAAATGGGAAAAAGTAATAAAAATATATTTAAAAAAAAATCTGACCATTGCTCCCAGGTTTCCTTCAGGAACACCAACCATTTCCAATCACTTATTTCAGTAGGCAATTTTGCTGAGGGAAAAGCATTAAATCAGAGGCTGATATAGAATCAGGGCAACTCAACAACAGCAGGGTTAGGAGAGTTGTTCTGCTGCTGCTTAATTCCCTTTTTCGTTTTAGGATTTGGAGTTTACCTAAATACTGAGAAATCCCACTACACAAAGAATGGCTGTGCCACCTGCTTATGGTAGAGTTATGTTAAATCAATATAAATCAGCCACCCTGGGTGTATATAAAAGAATACAATACAGCTAAAAAATGCCTCAGCTAGATGGGGGAAGGCTGTAACCAAAGGGCTATGAGCCTCCTCCTGTTCTCTCCTTGCAGGTTCAGCCCTTACCCAAAGGGACAGACCTTGTACCCAACACATCTCCCACCCCTCATGGGGCTCAATGCACAACACAGTGATATTCTCAAACCCTGAGGATCTGGAAAGAAAAGCAGCAGGCAGAACAGGAGAACACAGAGGTTCTACATGTGTTAAAGCCAGCCCTGCTCTGAGCAGCCCCAGCTCCTAGAGCATTATGCACACTGCCTGAGCCCAGCAAACCGTGTCATATCCAGGCAATGCCTGGCCTCAGCTGGAGGGGTTTCTCCAGTTCAGACAGCAAATAAAGCTCACATGTTTATTTACTGTGCTAATATTCCTTGCAGAGACAGAGAAAGGAATGTTGACATCTCTATCTTGCACAAGGATGCAACAGCACCTTCCTAGTAAAATGCTTGGGGAAAACCCCAGGGTGCTTGAGAAATAAGAATAAAGCCTCCAGGGACAGCAACCACAAGGCAGCGCTTCAGGATGAGCTCTTACACTGAGGGCAAACCCAGACCCAGGGCTGTGCCAGCCATTTCCCAGCTCCCATTTTAGTGAAGGCAGCCATTCCGCCTTGAGGAGGCTCCATTTCAACACATCGACAGACTTCAAGAAACACTTCACACCGATTTAACAGCCACCAGGCAATGAATCTTCCTGGAAAATCATCGCTGCTGTTGCACAAGGAGTGGTTGGCACCATTGGAAACACCACGCACAGCTCTGCTTGCTCAAAATGCAGCACAGTGATTCACATTCACAGGATGGTCTGCACAAGCAAACCTTAGCCCTGGGTTCATCTGCCAGACCAAAGCCACTGGGAAAAGCCAGACACACAAAGAAACCAGGTGTGCACACTGGAAATGCCCACTGGGTCTCTTCAGACTAAGGCATCTATGCTACAATGGTCAATATGTACATGCATGCATCTCCCCACCTAGATTTGGCAGCAACCTCAAGGTCTATGCTTCTTTTCCCAGCAGGTTGCAAGGAGGAGCCAACTCCACTCCCCTTCCCCTGTTTAGAAACCACACATTTCTCCTTCGGGACTGAAAGTGAGGCCCCAGCACAGGGATAAGGACCTCTCCAGCATCCCCACCTCTCCCTGCCCTCTGCCATGGGTATCACCTGTTCAAGAGCAGTTTTACCAGCTTTTATTTAAATAAATAAAAAAAAAAGCACAAGCCTGAAGCCAGCAGCTGCAGTGAGCTGACACAGTGTGGGGGGACCTCTTCAGCAAGCACACTGCATGGGATTAGTAATATTATACAGATCCTTTCACCACTTGCCTTTCACTTGCTCATATACAGTCCAGGCCAGCAATGGACAAAAAGTTTATTAAGCAGCAGCAGTTGGATGTTGTGTGTGGGACACCACAGTCCCACTACTGCCATGTCCCTGAGCTCCTAAATCAATTAAACATCAGGCTTGGCCCACATGACCCACATTGGCAGAAACAGGAGCAATCGAGGATAAAACCAGCACCCTGTCCAGGGTCACTGTGCCTTGACATGCTGAGCAGCCTCTGCAATCCAGCATGATTCAGCAGGCTCTGCTATGAGCCCAGGCACTTCCAGAGCACGCTCCCCATCAAATCTAAAGAAACACCAGTCACACTTCCTGCTTTCCCCCCCCCTCTTCCTTCTAAAGTCAGCTTTGAAAAATGAAGCATCAGACCCAGATGTGCACAGCACCCAAAGACTTCACCGACTGCAATTCGCTCAGCACCTCTGGCAAGAGGCTGAATGTTTGTGGCTAAGTTTGGGTTCTGGATCCAGGGGGTTGGGCAGCCTATTTCACAAGTCTCAGCCACACTGACTTCATTTCAGAATGGCTTCCAGTTTCAGCACTCTGTAACATTTCCATTGAAGCACTCACGCTGGGATTTCTGCTCATTCTGTTTGCTCCCATCTGTCGGAGGTGTGTGAACACAAATGGAATTGTATCTATTTCTGAGGATCTCTCTGCAGCTTTCACTGCCCTTGCCTGCTCTGTCAAACACTGTTATTCACCAGTTCCTTCCAACCCCAGAATGCTGAGAGCTGAGTGGCCCTGGAAGGTGCTCAGTTTGCCCAGAAAAGGTGCACCAGATATCCCTGTAACCAGAACATAGTTTAGTAGACACAGTGGTGATGTACTGACAGCTGGATTCTTCTCTAATAGTCTCTTCCAACCTTGATGATTTTATTTCTCCCCTATGGTAGCCCCCTTGCCCAACATCCCAATTAGTGACACCCAACCATGCCTAAGCACCCTGCCCAGACAGCAGTGCCACAGCAGCTCTCAATTCACGAGAAGCACCAAAACGTTTAACATCCAGCACAAAACCCTACGTTGATTTTTGGATTCTCACCCCTGTTAGCCTGCAGGACACGAGACAAATCAGGACAGAATTCGGGGGGCGGGGGAGGGAGGGGGTGACCAGCAGCCCGGGTTCACCACTTTCTGTCCTGAGCCAACAGTTCCAGTTCCCGTGCTGGAGGAAAGCAGGGCTGAAAGGACATCTAGCGGCAACTGAAATCCTCTCAGACAGCCCTGGGATACCTCCAAAGCCCCAGGGCTGCATGCAGGATAAATCAGCTCATTGCACCGCTGCTGATGGGAATGCTCTGCAAAAATAAACTTGCATTTCCTTACCCGAGCACGGGAAGCCCCTAAAGCACAGAAAACACAGCTGTTCTGCTGTGTGGTGGATTTGGGGAACACTGCTCCAAGGACACTTACATACAGTTGTTAGCCTGCAAACTCAGGATGTGCACGCTCAGGGCACAGTGGCCAAGAGGACACATGGCTGCCACCATGCCTGCAGAGCCACATCCATCCCACCTCACAGGGCACTGAGGGCACCCCAAACCTTCATCACAAGGGGTCTCTGCCCCACACGGCCACATGCCAGCCTCACCCTCCTGCTGCTGACTCCCAGCCAGCCCCAGTCCCAGCCCAGCTGATGTTCTCCAGGTATCATGCTTGGTTCGTATCCTTAGTCCTGACTGCTGGACTTCCTAACAGGGACACAAAGTTAAAGATCACACATGCACACTATCATCCTGAATGCCTCAAGAAGATGACTTGCTCTCTCTTGCTGGGTATAAGCAGATCATCATCCAAACATCAAAAGAAAGCCAAGATCCCTGGAGGGAATGCTTTCCAGACGTGCTACATGCACTATCATTTATCTTATGAAGCATAAGCAACATGTTGCATTTCTGATCCTTTTGCCAACCTCTGCAAAGCACTCATCTCCCCTTTGATTTTTCTCTCATCTTTTGCCTGTTTACATTATCAGCTCTTTGGGCAGAGGGCACCCAGCCCAACAGGAGCTGCTCCAAGTAGGCATGTGAGGCCTTGGGGGAGGGATGACATGATGTGACACAGGGGGACAGGCAGCCAAGGCCTGAGCAGTCATCACATCTGGGCTTCTGTTTTACTTCCCACTGAACAAAAAGTGTTGGCAAGGTCCTTCTGGAGGAGCTTCAGATCCTCTTCTCCCCTCCCAAAGGAAAAGAAAAAAAAAAGAGAAAGGAAAACTTCTGGCATTTGCTCAAGGCTAATAATTACAGGAATTAATTATGATTTATTCCCATTGTAAATCTTGGAGCAAAAAAAGGGTTTGGAGGCTTGCAAGATTTGCTGGATGACAGAAGCAAAACAGCTCTAATTGCCTTTCTTTGTTGTGTGTAATTAAGGATCCCGAAGCAACTGATCCCTGCATCATTCCATGGTTAGAGACCTGCAAGGCAAAGCAGGGTTCTGTGCAGAGCCACCAATTGCAGCTCTGTTGGGTTACCAGGCACTGTGTGCTGCAGCTGAACACTCAAGGACTCCCAGAAAAAGCAGCTTAAAAGGGAAAATAAATGCTACATAGGCTTAAAAAAATAATAATAAAAAAAAGACTTTGGCAATTTTGAGCTCACTTCTAATCCCAGAAGTTTTTTTGTCTTTGTTCCCCAGGAATTTTGCCTCCTTACTGCCCATTCATTTCCATTACCTCCATCATGACACCATTTACATTTTTTCATGGGGTTTACTTCAGCTTCCTCTTTAAGTCCTGAAGACTTAACACCACTGCAAATACATTAGGAAAACTAATCCCACCTGGAGCTCCTTGACCCAGTAACTCCAACTGAGGCACCACCTTCTCCCCAGCAGGAACCAGTTGGCCAAACGTTGCCTCTCCAATATTCAACCTATGAGTGTTCCCTCTCCTTTTTTCTACACAGGAGCAGAAAAAGTCTGCCAGGGAAATGAAGCTCTTCACTACAGTAATCAGCACCACGTGGTGACACCTGGCCTCAAGCAATGCCACCAGCCCATAGCAGACTGATTTCCCTTCTGCCCAGGCTCTGCAGAGTTAATGGAGAGCAGGAGATTATCAGGATCACCTGTGAATCAAAGGCACCTGGGACAAGAATTTTGAAGATAAAGGCTCACTGGATTTATCATGCCTGTGAAACTTCTAGCCTCTTAAATAAGGGGAACGAGAATAGGATGTACAGAGAGGAAAACACAGAATGAGCATCAGTAGTGATGAGAGTGACAATATCTGTCCTCCAGTGTTTTATATGGACCATGTGCTGATGTGATGCCCCAGTCCCAACCCAAAAGCTCCTCCCAGTCCTAATGGCACCTGGGCACAACCACACCTGCCAAAAAGGCTCACTGCTTAAAGCCTTGATTACTTTTATACAAACCGACAATCAGAGCTAGAGAGCAAGCTCAGGGGCACAGAGTTGAAACACAAATTGAAAGCTGTTGCTTTCCCATAGGAAAACATTTGTCCTGTTTTACCAGAGGCATCAGCCTGTATCACGAGGACCCAAAGAGCTGACCAAATGCTAACTGCTCTGCTTTAAAGGCAATTACAGCATTACAGTCTACAGGAGAGAAGAGCTGGGTGTACAGCCCCAGGGGCTGGACAGGACCTTGAGCCCTGTAGCAACTTGCTGCAGTGACTCATCACTCATAAATAAGATGTACAGCTGATGATGCTTTTTTTTTTCTTCCCATCTGCCTTCCACCTTATCTTTTTTTTTTTTTCTTTTGGATAATTGTTTGTAGAATTCATTACATGCAACAATTCACTGCAAGCAACAACAAGAACTTGGCTGAACCACACAGTAGATATCAAAGGGAAAATTTTAAAACGCTCATAAATTATCAGCAGTCATAAAACCTTCAACTTCTCGCATTTCGAAAAAAAACTTAAAGGATTTTCCACACTTACCTGAAACAGCGGGGCTTTCGCCAGATCCACGGCGCGCAGAGCACGGCTGCTCGAGGAGCGGCTGCTGAGTAGAGACTGACACCGTGTGGCTGTTTCTGGCCCTTACAAATGGGGAAGGTCGGGCTCTGCCCCTTTTCTAGGGGAGGTTGTGGGGGGGGGGGGGGGGGTGTGCATAAATTAAGAGCTGAACTCTCAGCACCGGGTGTGCAACACGTGCGGTTGGGTTGGGTTGGGTTGGGTTGGGTTGGGTTGGGTTGGGTTGGTAGATAGATAGATAGATAGATAGATAGATAGCAGGTTAACAAGGATAAATAACATTAAATGCATTTTTTTAAAAAAATCACACATCACTTATTTACTTATTTTTAACTAAAAACACCTCTCTGGAATGGGACCCGTTTGCATACATGTTTAAAGCCCTACTACAAGTAACAAATAAGTACATAAATAAAGTGATCTTGTGAATTATGTTTCCCTGCGATCTTGCAGTCTGGCTCCCTTCCTCGGTTTGCACAGCAGGGTGAGAGGTTCAGAGCCTTTCCTAGTTCTGACAGCTGCTTTGGAGGAGTTTGGCTGCACTGACTCCGAAGAAATTATCTCTAATTCCCAGCAGAATAAGTGGAAATAAGATCAAGTCCAGCAGTGCATTAAATCTGCTCTGAAAGAAGAATCAGTCCTGCGGGCTTACATCCAAGAGGGTTAAAACCGAGGGAAGTCTACAGTCTCCAGAAGTACATTCACTTAACAATTAGTAATTGTACTTATTTTGCAATTTTCTGTGAGCATAGAATTTATTGCAATTTAATACACACTTTCATTGTGAAAAAACACAGCATCCCTGCAGCAGAGGCTCAACGGAAATACATCAGCCAAGCTCGTCTCCCCTCATTAGCCAAGGGCTGTGCAAGTGCATGCAGCCCCTGGAAGAAAAACTCACCTGAGACATTTCCTTTCCCTTGACCATATTCCTACACCATCTTTCTAACTCCTCACTGTTGTAATTAAACATGAAGGGGGTTTTTTTGTTTGTTTTGTTCTGGGATTTTTTTATTATTATTTTATTTTAATATATACCTGGAGTTGTTATTAGTGAAAGAAATCCAGCTTTCAGTGATGGAGAGCAGCACTGAGCCCCCCCAGCTCTCTGCAGCTCCTCACCCTGACAGTGGGAGGATTCAAGCAAGAGCTGAGGATGGTTAAAACTGTATTTTTGTCCCTGAAGAATGGGGACATAAAAAGATACACAGCATATCTAGTGCTAAGGTAATGGACTGCAAAGCAATCCAGTTAAATGGGTAGCCACAGGCCATTTAAGTCAGTGCAAAGCACTTCTTCAAATTCCAGAAAGCAGAGCAGCCCTACAGGTTATTTAACATTTGCTTTTGGCTAGGATGAATTAATTGTATTTATTTTTATAAGCAATAAGGCATTCTTTGAGTGTAGTGTACACATGTTCACTCACGTGCCTGTGTGTGGATGCACACGCATGGGGCTGCTCCCCAGCCTGGCCCTGGGAGGAAGCAGGCAATGCTTTGGCGAGTGCAGCCCTTGTACAGACAATGCCAGGGAAGGGATTATACCAGGGATTAACATCTTAAAGCCCCTCACCAGACCTTCCGACCCGAAGATCCTCTGGCCAGCAATCGTCCCACTGTCTCTGCAACTGTTACATCCCAGATTCAAACCTGAGTTCCAGGTGAAGTGGATGAGAGCTGCCTCATCTCCCTCCCCCCCCCCCCCCATCCCAAATCCTCAGCTTTGGGGTTTTCTCCTTTTCTTTCAGCCATTCTCTCTGTTTCTCCTGCCATGACCCCACGAGTGCTTTTCTTGTCGCCTGCCTTCTCCTAATTCCGGGTAATTTATCCCGTATTAAAATTCCCTTAAGGAAGAAAGACCCAGAACCCAACACCTGCTATGCAAATGGCAGCAAATCCCCAGCCCCACAGCGGGCAGCACGGACCCGTGGCTGCTGGTGGTCCCAGAGCTCCCTGCCAGCCCTGCAAACCCAGCCCAGAACTGGGGGGCCTGAAACACCCCCAAGAGCTCAAGTGTTCGTACATCAAATTATTGCTTGTTATATTGTTATATATAAAAATTGTTATATTGCTTGAGGTCTTCACCAGTATCTTTGATGTAATAGGAAAGGGGAGAGGAGAGGAGAGGAGAGGAGGAAAGAAATAGGAAGGAAGGCAGGAAGGAAGGCAGGAAGGAAGGAAGGAAGGAAGGAAGGAAGGAAGGAAGGAAGGAAGGAAGGAAGGAAGGAAGGAAGGAAGGAAGGAAGGAAGGAAGGAAGGAAGGAAGGAAGGAAGGAAGGAAGGAAGGATAGGAAAGAGAAGGGGGAAAGGAAAAGGAAAAAGGATATAAAGAAAAGCTGCTCCTGAACAGAATGAAATGATATGAAAGTTATAAAAGGAAACTGCACGTAACTTTCTGCTTTGCACATTTGCACTGCAGTCAATGAATTTCATCCCTCTCTTTTCGGATAAATGTTCAGGCTCCAATCGACAAAACACAAATCAACAGAAGGGGGAACTGTGGGCGGGAGAAGGTGGATAGAAGAGAAAAAAAAAGAGAGAGAGAGAGAAGAAAGACTTCTCACACAATACTGTGGGGGAAAAGGGTTCATTTCTTGGAGGTGACATCCTAATCGCGTTTCTCCCAGCAGACGGGGAGGCTGGGAAGAGCTGGAGGAGCGCGACCAGCAGTGCGACCCAGTGGCGGGGCTGCTTCGGTACATGGCCCAGATTGGGCTGTGGGAGCCTTGGGGACGTTCTGGGTGCTGCCCAGCTCTTGGGGTGCCCATGAGGACAGCAGGGATGGCATCACCACAGTGCCCCTCCAGCCCCAAGCTTTATTCCTATCTCCCTTTAAGGTTGAGAGTCTATTTCCCAGCGCCGAGCGACTTGACGGACGTTGGGGCTATTATTTGGGGAGATGGATTGTTTGGCTGAAGGTGCATTGTTTGGGCTCCTCATAAAAGAAACAAGTTAAACGCTGCAGCTACCACACACAAAAATGATTCCTTCTGGCAGTAAAACCAGTGGGACAAGGAAGTGGCTGCAGGAGTCGAACATAATTGATGCTCGGAACGATGTTATAAATAATCCGTGCATGGTCCTCTCCCATGTGCCTCAAAACCACAGAAAGTGACGCTTTTTTTCTTTCTTTCTTTCTTTCTTTTTTTTTTTTTTTCTTTATCTCCCCTTGAATTCAGGAGCATAATACCCCGCGAGCACCAATAATTGATGTATGTTATAATTCTTCATTACCCTATCGGTAGTCTGGGAAAATTAGAAGAAAAGAAAATGCCAGAAAGTTATGGTAAAACTTAAGATGCGACAGAAGTAGCTTTCTTTGCTCATGCTGTGAGTGTTTGAATAAGAAGAATGTCCCTGCACTGTAACAAGCTAAAAGAATGAGGAAGACAAAGGATTTCACGAAAAAGGTTTAGATAGAAGACAAGGCAAGTGAAACTGAAAGGAAGGGAAAAAAACCATTTACAATGGAACAATGCGTGTACTAATCGCTTTGATATATTATACAAACCCAAAGACCCAAAACATTGTGTAATTATTTATAAATGACTTCTCCACTCCTGTGTATAATACCGAAGAAAGAATAAAACTGCAGGCTACTCTCTAAACTATTTCTAAATAGACCTAGCTCAAAAGGAAGCAGAAGTGTTTGAAAAAAAAATAATTAATGGTTGATTTTATGGTTGTCTCATTAAAACATTTTAATTACAACAAACAAAATACATTTGTGCTCGCAGGGAACAATCGCTTACCTACTCCCCCCACCTTCAAAAAAAAAAAAAAGAAAGAAAAGAAAAGAAAAAGGAAGAAAGAAAAAGTCGTATCACATGTTTAAAACCTGAAAATAAAACATCCCCATTATTTTCACACAGATTCCAGAAGGGACTGAGCCCCTTGTGCACCGTTCCAGAGCAGAACCCAGCACCCAGCCATGCTCTCAGCACACATCCTGAGCCCCTGGGCTGCTATGGGTGGGTAAGGGGTGGGCCAGGTCCTTCCTAAAGAGCTGCAGGATCCCACCTGGGAGAGCTGGAGGGGTAACCACTGCCTCCCTGCAGGCTGTGAGCTCCGACTATCGGGTGGGTTTATCTCCAACACTGAGCCAGTATCTCTGCAGCTATTGGGTGAGTATCTCTTCAACACTGGGCAGAAATCTCTCCAGTGTTGGGTGGCTATCTCTCCTACACTGGGGGTGTATCTCTCCAGCATTGGGCTTGCAGTGCAGACATTGCAGGTGAGAGGCAGTGCGACCTTCTCCTGGCTCCTGCAAGTTAAGATTTGTGCTCCCAAGGTGATGGTTCAGCCACCAGCCATGTTGTGCCCCCAAATTCACATTGAGCACCTTCTGTAGGCAGCTCTGACTTCTTGCTCCGGTCGCACTCTCAAATAAGCACAAAAGCAGTGTTTTCCTGGTTGATATGCTGCTTTGATGCTCCTCTCAACATCAGTTTAAGCCCTTACGTGCTGATGTAACAGCACTTAGTTTGGTGAGTTATTGCATCTATGGGCCTCCTAAACCTAAACAAATGATAATAAAGTTAAAATAAACAATTTTTTTAAAGAACCTCTAATGTGTCAAAGACATCTTCCAACCATGGGAGCAGCTTTACTGTGAGCCAGGCAATTCTCTGCTTGGGATGGAGCAGCACTAACACCACTCTAACCATCACAGTCCATGCTGGAATGCAAGGCTCACTTCTGGCACTGAGACCTGTTCAGCTTCACCAGGCACAGCTGGCACCAAAGCATGGGCTGCCCAGCCATGTCCATGCTGGAAATGCTGCATTTGAAGAGCAGAGCTGAGTACTGCTGCACTCAGGAGCCTTTCCTTCACCTTCCCAAATTCCCCATCCTTCCGGAGTCCAGGCACAAACAAGAGCCAACACAGCCCATGCCACCCAGCACCAGGGCCTCATGCTTGAGGCCATCCATCTCCAGAGGAATGCAGTGTATGGGGATGGGTCCACTCCACTTCTGATCCAGCTCTATTTCTGCGAGTTCCACACTCAAAAATACCTCTTCAAGCTTTTCAAGAGCAAAGTGTCCCAAAACA